CAACAGAGGTGCAGCATTTCCCTTAAGTACTTGCATGCTCATAGGTATGCATGCTCATAGGTATGCATGCTTATAGGTATGCATGCACACCAGCACCTTGACTTCCATCAGGACAGTGATTCTTTAGTCCCCACTAATGTCCACTTTCAGAATGGTCTCCACCTATGTGCACAACTTCATGCACACAATTTTCTTGCCCTGTAGGAGAGACTGTGACCACGCCAGGCTCCCCAAATACAAACTCTTGGACCTTTAATTTCTGAACTCCCTGAAGCTTCACCCACATCTCCATAGCACTGAATAACTTCTCTGCAATGGCTGGAGTTAGTTGAACCACAGGTTGAGGACCTTGGGAGGGGTGGTGAGGAGCTAGCTGGTTCTTCAGACTCCTCAGAAACCTTCCTTGGATTAAAGACAATGTATGTGAGAAATAAATGTAGAACTAGGTCAATGACGGACCCAGAAGGAAACTGGCAGAGGACCAAGGAGCTGTAAGTTGCTCTTCCTATGTTAACTGCCCTGGTAAGACAGGGGCAGGAGGGAAAAGTTGTCTGGTTAAATTCCAGAAACTTCTGAGGATTTTGTTACTGGAGCTATAGGACCCAGGACTCCCTCCTCAGACTTAGCAGGGAACCTGGGGAAATCTCATCTCCGTGCTGCAGTTTCTCCTCTGGGCACCATCTAGGGCTCTGAAAATCTTTACTGTCAAATGAAGCAGGCCTTCTGGGGCATTCTAGCTGAGTTCCTGAAGACTAGGAGGGCCATTTTCTTCATAAGTCCTACCCAATTTAGGGAATAAGAAAAGGCCCTGAGGCTCTAAGTCTCCCTATAATATCCACTAGTTTGCCCATAGTTTGCGAGACTGGTAGATATGCCTGGCTGCCCCACCAAGAGATTGAATTGATTAGCCTCTTCCCGTGGCTTCAGTTGATAGAACCAAAAGGTAGCTTTCTACTTGGGGAATTGAGTACTAGCATATGTAAGCTCATTAGAACCCAGGGTAGGAAACTGCCAGGTCTGCTTATCACCCCCTCCCCTTCCCACACCCATAAACCAGACATGTCTCCCAGGAAGCAGGTATCCCTGGAGACAGAATATGACAGGGCTCTACAATCTGTCTATGTGATTATTTGTGACCTTTTTCCTTTGCCTGTATTTATGGGGCTCATAGGAAGGGGCCAGGAGAGGGTACACCCAGGTGGGGAGAGCAAAACCAACTGATGCCAGTTTTCTCTGTGTTCATACCCTGTCCTTCCTTGTAACCCTGCTGGCGAAGCAGGCAGGCTTCCCCATGTCCTGGACCCTGTTCCTCCCACTTGTGTATACCCAGGCTGGCAAACCTTGGAGCCTCTGGGCTCTGAAAACTAGACAATGATCATTAAACCTGGCTTGAGTCTCTGTTCTGGCATAGTCTGTGACTGATTTATTTATCTTTTTAGCCTGTGGGTGGGGTTCACTGTACTCCGAAAGGTGTGGTCTGTCTAGAGAGAGAATATTTAAATACTGTTATAAGGGCTCAGGTAGAATCCACATCCAGGTATTAAGATAGACCAGGGGTCAGCAAACTTTTTCTGCAAAGAGTAAATATGTTAGGCTTTGCAGGCCATACAGTCTCTGTTACAGCTACTCAGCTGTGCTGTTATAGCAGGGTGGTGGCCACAGACAGTATGTGAATGAAGGATTGTGGCTCTGTTTCAATCAAACTTTATTTATGGACATTGAAATTTGAATTTCATATGATTTTAACATGTCTTTTGAGTTTTTCAACCATTTAAAAATGTAAACACTCATTAGCTCACGGACCACACAAAACCAGGCAGTGGGCTGGTTTTGGCCAGCGGACCATAGTTTGGCAGCCCAGTAGATAGATTCTCAAAAGAAATGTCACTGAGGCTTTAGCAAGAGACAGCTGAGAAATTCCATGACTTGGAGCTAGAGCCCCTAGATAATGAAGGCTTCCTGGATCCCTGGGGAGGAGGGTTGCCTCCCTGCAGAGTTCTCTTAAAAGTCTGGATCAAGCCTACTAATGTACTATGGAAGAATGCTTGGACTGGAATAAAAGAAACACTGGAGAGCAGCTCCCTTTCACAATATTTTTATTATTACCAGTATATTTTCATGTTGTAAATGGTAACCATCTTGGTCTGGCTAAAAGTACATTCATCTAATGGGCAGGTTAATATTCATTGACAGTTTAATGTGTGCTAGGCGTTGCATAGAACAGAGAAATGCAGTCCCCACTTTTTTGGTACAGATACAGCCTACCAGAAACTGGACTGGAATCTACCAAACTCTGAACATGCAATTTCTTTGGCTACTCTCTTGGTACTTGTGGAAGGGGATTGTCATGGTAGATTCCAAAAGGGGAGAGGAAATGGTAAAAGGAAAATTAATTAAAAATTAAAATTACATTAAAACAATCAAATTTGAATCATACCTAATTTCTTAGTGATAAAATCTTGACCAAATGGCACCCCTCCTCTGTTGTGTTTTTCTCTTCATGCAGAACAACCAAAGTGGTAAGGGATGGAGACACCTCACAGCTAGCCACATCAGACAAATCAACCTTGGCAGTCAATGAAATGACAGATGTTGATGCCAGAGTGCCCCCATAGCCTACACTTATAAAGCATTTTTTCATCCTTTGAAAGCAGTTTTTGCTATGGCTGAGTTTGGCCAAGAGGATGAAGCTGATAAAAAGAAAAGGTCCGGGGAAGACTACTGGGAGTTCTCCCCCCTATTCTGGCCTGTGCCAAGTCCTGTCTCTGATCCTGAAAAGTTTTGCTTCTTCTCTCTCCATCATCCCAAGGAAGTCCATGGCTGCATCTCTTCAACCCACTCCCTCTCCCCGCAGCCACAAGAAGTTCCCTAGATTCTGGCCAAGATAGGCAATTTTGTCTGCCATGTCTCACAGCACCTTCCCTAGCTCCTCTTAGGTGGCACTTAAGGGCATGGAAGAGGCTAATATAACAGTTGCCTTTTAGAACAGAAGAGGAGAGTTCAGTGGATCAGCCAGCCTAGCCTCTCTTCCACCTGATCTCTCAACTCCTTCCCCTTCTGCAGTTGTAGTTCTTGTGCGACTTATCTTGTCTCCCAGGAAACCACTGGTAAAGTTTCCCTCTCCCCACCCACAGAAAAGGCTCAGGCCTGTGCAGTAGGATGGTTGGCTTTTCTGGTCTGGCTACAGTGAGCCTGTGGTGGATGCTTCCTTTCCTGGGGCTTGAGAGAGGAAGGCTACAGCAGCTGCCATGTCAAGCCCCTTCATCAGGCTTATACACTGTCGGGTGGAAAATATCAAGTGGTAAAGATACTTAGACCTGCCTTGAGGCTTCCAGTCTACGTTAGCCTGGTTACTGTCCCAGAATCACAGAAGGCGTGGAACCATGGCCTGAAAGAACCAACCTTCAGTGACCAGGACGTGGAGCCCTGCAGTGGACTTCCAGGTGCCCTACAGCACTAGTATACATGCAGTGAGAGTCACTGACCCCAAAGTTGGGGCAGGGGGGTGTACGTTTGCACACACACGTGTGTGTGTGCAAACATGCATGCAGGTTGGGAAGCACTGTAGCCGGATAGGACTCTGCGCTGCTTTTTCGTCACCTCCCACCGCTCTCTTACTTGGCTTAGTTTGCTTCTGGTGTGGGTCTAAGCGGAAAGGCCTAGCCCAGTCCTGGGCATCCTTAGAAAGCACCGTGAGATAACTGGGAATCTACTTTAAAGAGAAGGGTGCTTGGGGCCCCTCATATATACTCAGTGAGACAAAGAGCTGAATCCTTTGGTACCACAGAAAGAAGCAGAAGTAGTAGTAGAAGTAGCAGCTACTTAATCTGCTTTCAACGGAGATTTAAAAAATCATCTGGGAAATTCTGACAATAGCAGTTAGATTAAAAACTGGGACTCTTATTCCCTGCACATTGGTGACCAGCCAAGCCCCCTGGTGGGTGGGACGGGGAAGGTCGTCTTACTGGAGGTAGTTTGTGTCTGTTTTAAGCTTAGCCCAGTGCTGGAGACTGTGATTTCAGAGCCCCCTCCAGGGCAGTTTTGGGACACTATCCTTCTGCCTTTCAGCTGTCTTCTCTGTGCCTGTGCTGGTGAGAAGTGCTGAGGCTGTGCCCACAATGCCTGACTAGTGTTTCATTCCTGGATCCCAGGACAGAAAAAAAACAATTAAGATAAAAAAATGAATACTGAAGCCTCTGCACTACTGTTGTTCCTGCCTCTCTCTGTCCACTCCAGGCAACTGCTGGCTGTTCTCAGACAAATGGAATGGAAAGTATCCTTCTCCTAATTTAAAATTTAAACAGAACTGTTCTCATGGTGTGTGTATGTATGTGTATGTGTGTATGAGTGTGTTTTAATTCCAATAAAGTGCTTTGAGGAGGGGAGGACTGTGATCCTACTTCAAGAGCCTGAAACAAGGAAAGAGAAACACACTTGTGAACAAGCCGGGGCCATGTCTCACAGCTCTGCACCTCCATGCCTGGCACAAGGCCTGAGGCCGGCATTGCTCAGCCTCTGGCTACAGGGGAAACCAGAGGCAGTGTTGTGTCCATTACTGTTGCTCCTCCCCTCCTGGATTTTCTGCTCCACTTTTCCCTCAGAAGAGCAGAATTGGGTAGGAGAGATTGAGAGAGACTTGTGACCAGCAGCTCCAGACTAAGAGCAGCTCCAGGAAGTTCAGGCTGGACCCAGGGGATAACTGCACTAACACCCAGATTTGCAGGCAGCCCCATGACTTGAAAACACCAGGCAGGCAGCACTTAGGGCAAGCTTCGCTCGAGTCATAGCCTTGGTGGCCTTCCTGGCAGGAATGGATGAGAGCTGACCTTGCATCGAGAAAGAGGAAATGTGTCTGTGTTCTCTTACGATGGCCAGCAGTACAACCCCTCTGAGGCTTGGGTCCCCTAAGCATCACCATCCATAACTGTTTATTGCCTCCCTAAATGAAACATAAAGCGCAGAGCCAGGCTGAGTGAAAGAGAGATAAGGACAAGAACATGATACCACCTGTTGACATTTGTTTAATGCTTTGAACTTTGCAATGCCTGTTAACATGCATGTTCTCCCATCTAACCCTCACAACATCCCTGTGAGGTAGGTCCAGCAGTAAGAGATTTGCTCATGGCCACACCATTGTTAGGGGCCGAGTAAACCCAGACTACAGGTTTCCTAGTTTCAGGTTGATGCACTTTTCACTTCATGTATACAGGCTCTTTTTGCCAACCAGACACAGGGGCAGTGGGAGCACTACCAGAGGCCTCCCTGCTCCCTAAGCCTGGAGGGGGCCACTGGAAATGCTGAGGTCAGGTGTCAGGACCAAGGGTGTCCTCTGGAGGCCAAGACAGGAAAACAGAAGGAAGGGCAAGAGGACCAGAGGTTCAGGGTCAACGGCTGCCACTGCTACTACCAGTGTCAGCGGAGCATACACTGTGTTCCCTACATCTTGACCTCTGTCAGGTGAAAAGGCCTTATTTGTTTACTCAGAGGTCTCCCAGGGCCCACTCCCAGAGGAAAGAAGCCTGAAGCTATGGCTGGGAGGTAAGACTCCTGACCCTCCTCCCCTCCCACAGTGCCTCCCCATTCTGTTACACTCTGCAGCCCAGGAAAAGGGGGAAGGTGAGGGCTGGCTGACTCAGCCTGCAAGTGCTTGGAGATCTGGAGCTGAAAGGCCCCAGCACTGTTCAGCTAATGATTATTATTAACTCTGAACAGGCCTTGGCACAGCAGCCAGCTGGCTCAGGGAGGATGCTTGGATCTCCCACAGTGAGGTTTTAAAAACAAGACCCATAGCAGCCATGCACGGGGGTGGAAGGGTGGGGACAATGAGAAAGAAGGGACACGCCAGTGTCAGGGAGTGGGGAGGGACAGTCTGCCCTGTGAGAGGTTGGGGAGAGAGGAGGCACAGGCTGGCAAGAGGGATAGCAGCCTACCTTTGATGCAGCTGAAGAGCCAAGAAGGTGAGTCTGGAAGATTTCCCCAGGCACAGAGCTCCTGCCATTCAACACCACCCCCAGCCACAGTGGGGCTCAAGGGAAGGGGTGGTTATGGGAAAGATGGGGATTGGAGGGGGCATCTGAGCCCAGAATGGTACTCTTATTACGATTTGGATACAAAAACCATCCATATTTCTAATGTCCTCAAGGTTGAGTTTGAATATAATCACATTTGGAATCAGGACTTAGTGAGCCTGCTATGCAAATTTGTGCAAATAACATGCAATTTTTTTATTTGAGCACTCTGGCTTTTTTTAAAAAGGCAAAACAGGCTGACTACTAGCACCCTTCCCTAACCAGGGGACAAGGGCAGAGGGCAGCCATTTGCTTCTCCCCCAAGGCCTCTGCCTCACTGCTGAGGAGCCCAGCTTATATCCCAGATGGGGAGATACAGGGAGTGGGGGGAAGAGAGCGTGTAGGGAGGCAGGAGGCTTATGCAGCCGGCAGCCACCGAGATCCCAGCTGGAGGAAGAGTGCCCTGGCACTGAGGCCTAACGGTTGTCCAGCTGCTGCCCCAGGATGTGAGGGCAGGTGGTGTGGAGGGAGAAATGCAAAGAGGGGAGGGGAAGGAAGTCCCCCACAATCTGGCCGGCCAGGAAGAAGGGCTCCTCCTGGTGACCTACTCCCTAAACTACAGTCAGAACATCTAAGCAAAAGGAGACCAGCTGTGCCCTCCTCTCTGCCCTGTGCCCCTGCCCTCCAGGCCTACTGGTCAGAGGTGACAGCTGGGGCCCCTTTCCTCCTGCAGAATATAAATGACTTCCCCCTTCCTCCCAGGGCTGGGAATAGACATCAGCTGGCACAGCCCACGCAAACTGCCGGCTGTCAGCCCGCCTGCCCGCCCGCCCACCAGCCCCCGCACCAACTGGGAGGAGGCAACACCTCAGGCAGGCTCAGGCTTTATGGCGTCGTCTGCTTGGCTCTCAGAACAAGCTGGTGAACCTTACCCAGCCCTCCCCCGCTGCTGTAGACAGGGTGAGACTCCCAGCACTGGCTGGGATACGGGGAGAGGAGATGGAACCCCTGATCAAAGTGACCCCAGGTGAGAATCTCCTCCAGGCGGCCCCAGTAACCATCTCTTCCAAGTTCAGACCACATTGGGTAGTTTGAGAGGGGAGAGAGGGCAATGAAAGAGACAGGAACAATCACCCTCAGCACAACAGTGGCCCCCTTTACATGCTTAAGGTCTGAAGAGCTCCTGGGAGATGCCATGTGACCCAGGAGGAGCCTGGTGAGATCCACTCAGAGGACACCTCTGCCCTTGCAGTCTCCATCCCTGTACTGCTGAATCATACCAACCTCCTTGCTTCTCAGCCACCCAGAAAGGCGGTCTTGAGCCTTCAAAAGACCTGGAACAACCAAAATACTGCCATCTAGGAATGCCTCCCCCTGCTCCTGGGACCCGAGCTCCAGCCCCAACATCCCAGGCCTCCCAGAGTTTCCACTGAGCTATCTCTGTCTGCCTCCACACCAGCATTCCTGGCTCAGCCGTCTTCAGTCCTTGCCATGATCTATGGAGGTTCCATCTCCCCAACTGAGCCAGACCACAGTTAACCAGTCTGGCATCCAGCCCTCAGTGCCGAGGGCAGTCTGGGGAACTACTTCCAGTTTGGGACAAGGAGGGGTCTCTGCAGGGAAGAGGGACCGGCCCTCATTTGCCTGCTGGCACTAAACTCAGCCCCTTCCAGGGCCAAAGAGCTGGCAAGAGATGACAACTGAGGAAAGCTTAGTTGACAAGGAGAAAAGAGGAACCAGGGAGACTTGGTCTTCCCAAGATCAGAAGAGCCCTGCCCCACTTCCTTGGTGCTTATTTTGTTCTAAAAGCTTCGGAATAGCTCCACAAAGCTATATGCTAAGGCAAGAACCTGAGCCCTAAGAAGGGCAAAACGTGAGATGCTCAGGACTACTTTGCCACTGAGAATGGATGTCAAGGGAAGGAACACACTCATGTCCTGCAGCCTTCAAGCCCAGATCCTGAGGTGGGCTAAGGAAGTTCTTAGCTGGGCAAAGAAGCCCAGCCAGGAGCCATAGGCTTCATTAAGCCAATGTCCTTCTCCAAAAGCTTTAAAGTGACTTTAGTGCCTTTACTGTCTGGGAGTTCAGGAAACCCTCACCTGGGCCCCTTCTCTCCACAGGGCCTGACCCCTTGTGCCCTGGTCCAGGGGCCAAATTGGCACAGATTCCTGGAAGGCCATGAGGGTAGACCTGTCCCTCCAGAGGGGTAAGGGGATAATGAATGTAAGAATTACATCCTGAGTCTGCTGAGTGGTCCAGCCCATGGTCCAGAGCTGGGAGGGTGTTCTGTGACATCAACCCAACAGACACTGAATGTTTAAGAGATTGTTTGGAAACACTCACTTGTTACACAGATGAGAAAAGTGAGGTCCTGAGACATGTGACTTGCCTAAGGTTGCACTATAGAGCCTATGAGAATGATAACCCATAAACAAGACCCATGGGCTCTCCACTACAGCACACTGCTTTCTCAAAAGTGACCCAAAGAGCCATAGCTGCCATTCATAAGTTACAGGAACCCAACTGTTTATCAGGCATGCAAGAAAGAAATGCGTGCCAACACCATCACCACCACCACCCAACACTTCTGTCTCCCATCAAGAGTGGAGGCTTCAGGACCAAGCGCCACATCACCTTCCACTTGTACCCAGTATACTTCCCCATTTTGGCCCACTGAGTCATCCATCAATAATAGCAATTTGGGTTTCTGCAGCCCCTGGCCAAGCTAAGAAGTACAAAAACCCTACCACTTCTGAAGTGGATCCCTTGAAGGTCACCAAAGGAACCATTGAAGTCCAAGGCAAGTGTCCCATCTAGATTGAGAGCTCAGAGGAACTCACATTTCCATTTTCTTCCTTGGCAAGTAGGAGCTGGAGATCTGGTGCATGATCACCAGGGCTGGATAAAGGGGCAGCGCCAGGCACAGGTACCAGGCTGCACCTTTGATCTGGGCCTGGAACCACACTGAGTACAGGCCCAGGAGCACCGTTACAGTAGCCATCAGGTAGACCACCAGTCCACATGTCAGATGGTAGAGCTTGAGGCGAGCCACCCTTGAGACCCTGGCTGCCCGCGGACAGAGGAGGCAGAGCCCACACAGGGCCTGACCACCAGTGGCCAGCAGTGTCAGAGCCCCTACCCAACTGTGCCAGGACACCAGGTGGGGCAGCTCACTGCGAGTCCTGCTGGAGATGATGAAGCCCAGGCCCAGGGATGCACAGAGGATGGCTAGGGTCTGCCCCACCCAGTGGAGTCGGATTCGGGCCTTTCGGGAGCAGAAGAAGAACGGGGAGTGCTCAGACGAGAAGAGTAGGATGGCCTCAGCCATGCAGAGGCAGAACTGTGAACACAGGAGAGGGCCAGTGAGCCTCAGGCCCAGCTTGGAGGCCTAAGAAAAAGGAGGTGCTCTCATACATCCAAACAATGAGGAAAAAGGGTAGGGGCTAAAGAACTCCCACCAGTACCTCCTGCCTCACAGGTCAGCATTTCTGGGCACAATTGAGAATCAACACTTGAGTGGAAGTCTCATCATTCAGGCTGACATCCACACCCCTCCTCCTCCACAGACAATGTCCCCCATTTCTTGACCAATGGGAACAGCAAATGTTAAACTTCCTCCTGAACTTTGAGGGGAGCAACTGGATAACACCTCTTCCACTTTCTCCTTCCTCTTTTCCTACTAGTGGAGAAAGAAATATCCTCCATGCCCTCCCACCCCCTTCAACCACCTGACACTACCTACAGCCCAGCCCTCCAGGTCTCCCAGTCTCATAGGTTGCAGGGTGAGATGGGGCCCGACCTGTCCCCCACCTGTCTAAGCCTTAGAAAGGCTGAGCCTTTTGAAGGCTGGATGCTTACTAGGGGCATATCCAAACAAATCAGCTGCAGAAAGAAGCCCAAACTCACCGCCAAGGCCATGAATACAGGGTGCCAGGAGAAAAGACCTAAGAATCAAAGAGAACAGACTGACGGCCGGGCACCATTGATTCTGCCCCTGTGGCTGGCTAGAGCCCAAAGAATCTGGTTACAGGGGAAAGGTCAGTGTACTATCCCCAACCCTAATCATGAATCAGGAACTCAGGGCAAAGTGGAGCAGAGAAGGGGCCTTTGGGTGAGCAACCAAGAGGGCAAACATACCAGTTTGGCCTAGGTTCCCCACTCAGCACCTCGCAGCTGTCAGCCCAGTCCTAGACCTCCCTCCCTTACTTGTATCCTTCATCATGCTCATGATGAACTACTGAGTTCAGTTCACTTCAGTCGTCTGCCTCTCCTCCCCAGGACCCAAAGCCCCGCCCCTCTAAGGCCCCTCCCCCAGGGCCCCGCCCCACCACGCCCTTACCACCCCTCCACAGTCCGCCCCTTCACTGCTAGGGTCCCCACTCCACGTCTCCTAGCGCTCCCAATCGCTGCCCCTCCAGCATCTCGGCTCCGCCCCCTTCCCTGGCCCCGCCCCTCCTTGCACACTCACTGGTTCCCGGCCGGGACAGCAGAATCAGAAAGATGGTGAAGCCCAAAGCTACCAGGTGCGCCAAGATCCCACTGCCTCTCCGCAGCCAGCGGGTCAGTCTCGGCTCCCTCGCTGGAGCGGGAGCCAGATCTACCACCAGGGGCTGCATGGCCGCGCCGGGCCGGCGCACACTCCCAGCTGCCAGAGCGCGTCTTCCGGGTTTGCGATCGCGGAGGCGGCCGCCGCTGCGGGAGAGGCTCCTCCCCGGGGACGCCTCCGGCAGTGCGGCGGCTTCGCCCACAGCGCCCTCTGGGGGATGGGGGGAAAGCGCGTCGGCTCTGGAGAGCCCCGAGGGCAGAAGGGGACCAGACAACTCCGGGCCCACTTTGTTTCTTCAGCTAACCTCATTTGTATCTTTATGTCTACAGTGGCTTGTCTCAAGTAGCCTGCGGAAATTACATTTACAGCAACTGATTTCACCCAAACCCCAAATCACAAACTTGGTACATTGAACCAAGAGTGTGAAACCAGTGTTTTGCAGTTTTCCAGAAAAACTGAATTTCCCTGGCTGCCCACTCTCTCTTGCCATCCCTTCTTCTGTCTTGTTAAAGGAATAAGATTCCCCCCTGCTTACAAGCAAGGAGACTGAAAGGAAAGGGCAAGGACAAAAAATAGTGCCCTGTGCCTGGTGAATTCAGGTTTGAGGACAAAAGGAGGGAGACGCAAGAGTCTCGTCCCCTATCTGCACAGTAATTGTCCCCAGTGAGATAAATGGCAGAACTAGGGCACTCCCAGCCCGTGCCACCTCCAAACCATCTGCTCAGCCCTGGGAAGCCAGGTGATCCTGAAGGCCCAGGACCTCCCACATTCCTGCTGCCTTCTACACCAAGGGAAGTTCTGTTAAGTGATCATACCTTTCCCCTTCATGCCTCCAAAAAAGGTGTGGTTCAGATCAAGGAGGCCTACCTGGGAGAGGCTGCACCCCTTCCTTAAGGGCAAACAGACTGTCCCACAGAAATCAGGGACATCCTGAGAGCAGTTACCAACTCAATTCGAGCTCCTCCAGTGGTTGAGAAAATAAGGCAGGCAGTAAGAAGCAGGAAGGGCAAAACAGCTGAAGAAACTGAGGCAGTAATTCAGAGATAGGATGGAGGCCCAGGGTTACTCGAAGACCAGAAAAGGGCCACAGGCTGACTCCCTCAGACCCCCAGGGCAAAGATCCAAGAGTAGAGCCAGATCTGTGGCTCCCCTCCCCTGTTAAGTTTCCCTTCCCAATGGGACTGGAGTAGCCTCTGGGGTCAAGATTCTGGGGAGCCCTGCTCACTCAGACCCACATGCCTCCACCATCCTATCTGGAGAGAAGACTGCCCCAATGATACAAACCCCAGCCATTTCCACACTTTTTAAAAGGACAAAAATATATGAGCATAAGAGACTTCTGCAGGCAAGCGATGGGAGCTGGAATCTGGCTGCCTATCATCTCAGCCTCCCAGAGTGCGGTTAGGCACAGTAAGGACACTCATTTTGTTACATTTTTTTCCTTCCTTTTCTCTGTTTCTGTTTTTATACTTTCTTAGCAGCAACAGAACAGGGAGACAGTCTTGAGGTATTTTAAAGAGTTTTTTTTCTTAAAAAAAATAATATAAAGTTATAAAAAGCGGCAGCAGCCTGGGGCCCGGATCTGGAGGGGAGGAGGTGCTGGCGGCTCCATCGCAGTGGACAGGCACTTTCTCGTTAATGGGCTTTTGACTGCAGGAAGACAAGAGACAAGAGTCAGCGTCAGGCTGGGGGCCTACCAGTCCTCCTACCCAGTGAACTGTGTGGATCATAAGGCTAAGGCTTGATTTCCTCCTGCTGGCCTGGTGAGTAAAGCTGGGCAAGGGGGAAGATGAATGCCAGCCCAGCAGGGGCAGCCTGGAGAACACCCACGCACACCCACGCCCTGGGCAACTGTCAAACTCACTCCTCTCATATGGGTGCCAGAGGTGTTGGTATGTATCTGGCCCATGCCTAAATCAGGAGAGCATCCCCCCTTCCCACCTCCAGTAAGTCCCTCCTGGCTGGGATCATATGGATCGTTCATAGCATACTACGCCAGGGATCCCATCAGAAGAGGCAAGTAAACCTGGCTGCTGGCTTTACCAGAAACCCTGGAGAACTCGCCTGGCACCTGAAAACCTCGAAGTGTGGACATGTGCAAGCTGGGCATCCATGCACATGTGGACCCTGAGTTGTGTCCCTGCCCTTTCATACCCTGAAACCCAGAGGCAAAACCAATGAACAAGACCAGCCCACCTGCCCTGCTGCTCAGCATGTTAGGTCACAGCTCAGGGACCAAGGCTCAACCTCACACCCAAACCTTTCTTATCAGAGCTCAGGGAGTCCAACTTCCTCTCCTTCAGGGGACAGAGGTAGCTCCAGTTCCTGGAGTGAGGGCCACAGCCAATTCAGAAAGTGGCCCTTTGATAACAGCAAAAGTGAGAGTGGGGGAGGGGGAGGCAGAGGCAGCATCTCCATAGTTGAGGAAAAAGGCTGGGGATAGGGGAAGGCCATCAAGCAAAAGCTAGAGTCACCTTGCGAAGAGCTGATCCACCTCTCCCTAAAGAAGATGGCGCAGGAACTCTCTCAACTTCCCCTTTCTTCCCTTCCCTGCACAAACATTTACTTAGCACCTTCTCTGTGTCAGGTGCCCACTGTGCACTCCCCCCTCATCCATCCTGACCCTTCCCTGCCCACGCTCTTCAGGGAGCCAGGCTGGTACCTTCAGTGTAGAACACTTCTCCTCAAAGGCCAGGGCTGGACCCGGCTTCTTGCGGCGCACAGAGCAGGCCGCATCGGCTGGGGCGCCAGCCTGGCAGTGCTTGGCCTTCACTGGCCGGCAGTAAGTGGCCAGGTTTTTCCGCTTCTTGGCTACCTCTTCCTCAGAGAGGCAGTTGGTTGGTAGGGCCTTGGCTGGGTGTCCAGCCGCTCCCCGGTTGTCCAGCTGAGAAGCCTTGACCGGTGTGGGGGGCTGATGAGGGGAACCCCGACAGTCCAGGGGCCCTGCCCTCTTCACTCTTGGCCCCACCGTCCCATTAAGCCCCATGCCTAGGGCTGTTTTAGTCTTGGCCGAGAGGCTACGGCAGCCAGAGGGTTTGCCTTTTCCAGTGGGCTCCAGGATGCAGGTCCGTTTGAAAGTGGTGGGGCCTGGGGATAACTTTCGCTTTCGAGAAGGCGCCTCCACCTCAGCTCTGTCCTTGCCTTTGGACGACTTGCTGGCCTTCGAAGGAGGGAGCTTGCTGAAGGACGGGGATGGCGTGTTGGCAGGCAGTGGTGAGGTGATGGCCTGGCTCCCACCTGTGCATTCTGCCTGGCTGCAGGCGGCTGCCACACTGGGGGAGCCTGCAGGGTAGCTGGGGACATGGCTGTCCTTGGTGGGGGGCATGGAGGCTGGGCAGGCAGGTCTGTGTGGTGGGCCTGGAAGGCGGTGGCAGCTGCCCGTAGAGGATGGGCTCAGGGGAGCAGACAGGGGTGAGCTGACAAGGTGGGATGGAGGCTCAGCCGCCGGTGGGATCTTCCTGCAGCAAAAAGAGAGCCCCACTGTGATGCCAAGCAAACAAGAGGGCCTCCCCACCAACATACACCAGTCTTTGCCCCACCTAGAAATGGCCCACAGAGCCCCAGCATTGCTGCCCTCTGCTGGGAGACACTGGAACTGAGGGTCAAGAAGAAGGCACAAGAATAGGCAGGAATGAACTAGTATATAGACCCATTAAGAACCTCATTTTAAATCTCAGCTTGGACATCTCCTATCCCTAGTTACCCAAAAGGTCCTGGAAGTGATGGATAAGAGTCGAGATTCACTCATGCCCTGCCTTAGCCCAGCTCCAGGCTGCCAGGTTTCCCCACCTCCTCTTCATTCTAGCTACAGTCTTCCTGGCAAACAGTTAAGCCAAATCTATAGGTATATGTGGAGAATTAGAGCTTCGGAAGCCCACGTATGCCTGGGGCCCAGGGAGGGATGTTCTGGGCCTGAGAGACTCACTTCCACATGTGTGAGCTGAGGTGCCGTTCCAGCATGGAGCTCAGTGCCGAGCAGAACCGGTCCAGCCGGCGGCTAAACACGTAGCATCCTGGACTCACCAGCCGGCTCCCAAAGGTGCAGAACTGAAGGCAGAGGGAAGGTACAAGGTTAGCGGGACCTGAAATGCAGGGAGGGCACCTGCACACAGGATGTGACCTCCTCCCCACATCGTGGGCCAGGAAAGCTGAGCCACCCCCCACCCCAGGTCCCTGCCCCAGGTCCTTACCGCCTGTGGCCGCGGGGGCCGGGTTGCATAATGGCAGTCAGGGGGGAGGTGGAGATCATCAGATGTCCCCTCCTCCTCACTCTCCTCGCTGGAGGCCTGGGCCCCACCCCGGGGCAGAGGGAAGGGGAACAGGCCTGGGTCACCATCACCACCACAGGGGCCATCATCATCCAACTCACTCTCAGAGGAGGCCCGGGACCTGGAAGGGCCAAAGGGGATGTAAGGGCAATGTGCTGGGAGTGGGTCAGGGTGGGGTATCCCTGAACCTGCCAAGCTCAGAAAGCCTGGGCAGACGCCCTGCTGGGAAATCAGACAACGAGGAAGGAGGACAGGAAAGGAGGGAACAACAGAGCTCAGAGTAAGAGCCAGAAAGACCAGGGACCACAGCTCCCAAGGGATTCTCTCCCCAGCCCCTTCACTTCCCAGGCCCTGCCTCCTCAGGGGAAAAATCTACTCCAGATTCCCCTCCTCCAGAAAATCTTCTGAGTTTAACTGCACCCAGCTCTGGTCAGCCCAGTCAATTCTCTCAGCTCCCTTCTTGCATCACATATTCCTGTGAGCCTGTCTGCGAGCTGAGCCTGTGTTTCATGTCTGCCCCTCATGTTACAGGCAGAGATGCGTGTGTGTCTCCTTCGGCAAGGCAGGCTCTCCCTGAGGTCCAGCACAGCCTCTGCACACGAAGGGGCCAGTGAATGAATACACAGTAGGACTGCCTCACCCAGGACCCTGACCCTTGCGGCTCCCTAGTTAAGAGTTCTGGCCTGTTGGAAGCAGCTGAGAAAATGTTTTTATCCTGGGTGTTGGAACTGGCACACTATAGAGAGGCTGGGGAACTGTGGTATGCTCGGTCAGGAACAGGGAATCACCTACTTCGACACCCCTGCCAGGGGCCCCAGGTATCCCCCGAGACTCAGGGCAGAGTGAACAGCATCTTTCAGAACACTTTCTGGGCCTGTCTCCAGGGGTCCCTGATGGCTTGGGGCCAAGTGTCCCCAGGTCAGACGGGGGCTGGATCCTGGACGTACCTGGGCAGTGCACAGTACGGGTAGGTCTGCTTGTCACGAGCAGAGAAGGTGCTGCTGGGCGCAGCCGCTGCTGCCACAACCTGGACTGAGGAGAGGGGCTCCTGGGAGGCGCGCTCAAGAGCTGGCTCCTTACGCCCTGGGCTCTTCTCCTTGGGAGACTCCCCTTTGCGGGAGTTGGCCTTCAGCTCTGCCACTAGCACATCAAAGTCCTTGGCCCGGCCCTGGACCTCCCGGCGCTGGTGCACCGAGTGGATCTAGAATACAGCAGGGTGGAGGGGTGGGGAGGGGTGTGAGCTGAGCAGGGGTGAGGGGCAGCAGTGTGCTCTGGCCTGGGCAAGCGGAGAGAGAGGGGGTGTGAGTGTTTGTGTGTCTTTGTTTCACTCCCCCACAGGACCAGAACCCTCCTTTGGGGTGGGGGAATCTGGAAGCCACCCCCTGCCTGCTGCCCCCACCTTGGGCCCGCTGTGGGCAGCCTCCTCTCCCCTTGCCTGATCTGGGCTTAACCCCCATCCCCGGAGCCAGAACTTGGATAGCATCTCAATTCCTCTCCTTGCCCAGGGCCCGTGTCTGTACCGTCCTCCCTCACTGTGCAGTGGGAGCGGGGGTTACCTTGCAGGTCAGCAGGCGGGTACAGATCTTTTTGGTCTCTGGATTTATTACCCCACACTGCCTGTTGAGGTCGCACTCCTTCCCTGTGGGGAAAGCGGTTCCCATGAAGCTCCAGGCCCTTTCTAGGAGGCCCACAGGAGGGTCTGGCTTCTTCCTGCCAAAGGCCTGGGAAGAGCTGGGCCTAAGACAAGAGCCTCTGGCCCTCAAGTCTTGGGCTGCAGCCTTCCAGAGAAACTCCTCTGGGCATCAGTAGCTCTCTACTGGGTGCAAGAACCATCCCCAGCCTCATTCCAAGCCCAGGAACTCCTACTGGGGATTCCAAGCCCAAATCAGGGCAACACATATCAAGAAACAAAAGCAGCCACAGATATCTGGGATGTCCGGGAAACCAGCTGTGGGAGGTGTGCAGTGCCCTGGATCTAGGTGAGAAGAGAGATAAAGGTGAGCAGCCCAAGATGAGGAAGAATAACTTCACCTGCTTGTACATAGGCTCCCTTAGCCTTGATCAGAGACCTGGGCTGTAGATAAGCTCTCCAGAGAGCAAGCAGGTCAAGTGTGTGTCCATGTCAAGGGGAGACCAGGGGTGGCCAAGTCCACTCCCTCCTGACCTGTCTCCATCAGGCCTAAGGACAAAGCAGTCCAAAGGAGTCCAGACTCTACCTTCCTGACCCCCAAGACCAAAACTACTCACGGGCCATCTTCCGGTGTGTTTTGGGGGGCAGCCTGGCCCCACTAGCCTCCTTTTCAGGGGGGCTGCCTTCAGTCCGGTGACTGGGGCCCTCGCTGAGGGTTATCTCGATGCTCTCTCTGCCAGAAGGTTCTTTAGAAGGGGGTGCCGTGGGGTTTTTTCCAGGGGAGTCCTTGGTGAGGCCGCCTGGCTGGCTGAGGAAAGCAGAGGGCGGGGCCACCCTAATTCCATGTCCATCAGGCTTCGGGAGACTGGACATCTTCTCCAAATTCACCACAGGCACGAAAAGGCTATACATGGAGAGAGGGTGTGGGCTGGGGGTAGGGAGGCTGGCCCTGGGCCCTGGACTCTAGCCCAGAGCCATCTCCATCCCAGCCCTAGAACTTGAGTGGGCTCCAGCAGGGGTGCAGAACATGGGAAAAGGGGACCCCATATTCCCTGGAGCACATGAAAGGAAGCGGCAGATAGAGCTGGCTGCCTCCTGCCCCACAGCCGCCTCCATTTGTGTCAACCCCTCCTTGGGCTAGGGTCAGGGCCAGTCTTAGGGAGTCTCCAGCCTCTCCTTACCAGAGGTTGTCCTTCTGGGTCTTCTCAGGAGGGTGGTGGCCACGGCTCCGGGACCCCTGGCCCTTCTCCCTGGAGGAGGTTTTGGTGGAACCTGGGGCCCTACAAGCTGGGCCCTGCCCATTCACTACATGGCATTTCTGAGAGCTGGCAGGGGCTGGAGGTGGGGGTGGGGCCCGGGCGTAAAGCTTGCTGAGGGGCCCATGTCTTCTTTCTGTCACCAGGAGGTGGAGAGAGTAATCGAGGTGAGTGGTATCAACTGCTTCCTTCCCCAACCTCCTAACCCTGCTCACAGAATCACAATAGAGAATCTGCAGTCTCCATAGCTTAGATTTTAAATTTGCCTCCTTCCCATCTGGATTTGAGCCTTCAAGACTCAAAATTCTAGGACCGGGATTCCTGAACCCCTTAGCTCTTCCTTTAACTCCATCAGATGCTAGAAGTTTGCTCAAACAATAACCCCTACCCGTCACAATCCTCTGAAGCTGGCCCCCCAGGACCTTCTATCCCCAAGGCCTCCCTCCAATACCTACACGACCTCCCAACTGACCCTGTCCTCAGAGTTCCATGTTCCACTTTCCCCTGCCCCCTCTATCTCCTCCCTAGGGCTCCCCTCACCGCAGTGCTTCTGGAAAGCTTGAGGCTTCACCACTTGGCTGCAGTGGTTACACACAACCAAATAGAAGTCGTCATGGGCAGGGCAGTGCCCGAAGATGGACATGTCTGCAATGACAGAAGCCCTTATCACTGGGGCTGGGGACCCCAGGGTTTCCTTGTTAAGATCAGAGAGCACTCCCACCCCACCACTCAGAAGACACTTCCCCTCCCAGCTGACATGACAGGCTTTATGATGGATACTCCCATCCTCCAGAGTTCTATCCAACCAGTCCCTAAGAATGTAGGCTTTCAGATGAGTGGGCACCAATTACCCACGATTAGGATCTCCCACAACAGGTCACAGGAGCCAGGGGAATGGGATGACTCAGACTCATCAAAGTGATGACCCCAGACCTGCTGCTTCAAGCAGCCACCTCCTGGGATGCAGTGGTGGAGGGGAAGGTGGTCCTGTCAGCCCTGGGCCCCAGTCCTAATGTGTGTTGACTCCCACCTTCTTTAATGAGGGTCATGGCATCCATCTTCTTTGTGTTTTTGTTATTCTCTTCCAACTCAGCCCCTGGAGGAGAAACACAGCTCAGAAGGACCACTCCCTTCCCAGAAGCCCCATCTCCTCCCTGACCAGGGCCTGCAGCCAAGCAACAGGAAGCCCACAGCCCATGACAAGCTTCTGGCGCTCAGGACCACTTGGAGAACCTTTCAGTAGGTCATTCTCAAGTGCCCATTCTTCCTTCACCTGCTACCTCTGGAATGAGCTGGCCCCATCAGGAGGGATCCAGCCACCTTACTTTACAGACCCGTCACTCTAATGTGCAGTTCAGGGTTCCACTGCCAACTAGTTGGGTGACTGTGGGTAAGTATCATGGCTTTTCTGGGCCTGCTTCCCCATTTAAATGGGAAATAGTCCTTAACACATTTTACTACAGATCCCTGAGTAGAAACCTTGATATTTCTCCAATGGGTCCTTTCTGCTACTCTGTGGCATCTTAAACAGATACTCTCCCAGGTCCCCATCCCCAAGAACTCAATTTTGTCCTACCTGGGTTACTATTGCAACGTCAAAGTTACACCCAGCTTCTCAGGTCCTGCACTGATAGGATGGCCACAGAGCAGAGAAACTGCTGTCTTGTGGCCCTTTGGCACCTTTAAAGTCCCGTTGGTCAGCCATGCAAGCCCCTCCCCTCTTTAGGAGAGCTTTGGGCAAGGACTGCCCTTGTACCTCAGTTTCTGGGTTGATGACAAAAACATGTTAGCTGTGCAAAGCAGCTCTTTCTCCATCCCCCTACCTTACTCTTCTCCCCTCCCTCCTCTACGCCCCCTCCCTGTCCCTTGGAAAAAAAAATCAATTCTGAGTCACCAAACCCGTCTGATTCCATTTCCGGTTCTCAATGCACCCAGACCCTGACAATGGCCCCATCCTTGCCCATCCAGCATGGGGTAGTCCTGGGTTACCACTCAGTCTGCTTCTGATGCCTACTAACAGATTTGCCCCTTTCTAGGATGAGAAGATTGTTGACAGTCTTATATAATTTCCAGATATGAGGGGTGGGGGCTAGGCATGCAAGAGACAAGGGGCAGCTCCCACTCTTAAGTCCGTTAAAATGCAGTGATGGACAGAACTGAGCTGGCAGTCCGAGGTCTCAGAGGAGAACAAGTGTCATCAGAGACCGCTCCATGCGGTCTCCTCCTCCACCTCTTCTCACTTGCAAACTTCTTCAGGGGCATGATGCCTGCTGTCACCCCGAAGGCCACGAGGCCAGGAGCCCCCTGGGGCCCAGGAGACAAAGATCAGGAGAAGGGGCTGTCAGCCTGCTCACCAAAGGCACTCAGGGGCCTAGAGAAGGTGGGGTTCAGGGGAGAGAGCCAAGAGGCAAGGCAAGAGGCCCGGGAAAGGACGGAGGGTTGGAGGCATGGATGGATGGACAGAAGGAAGAAGGAAGGGAGGATGGATAGATGGATGGACCGACGAACTAATGCGAAGGGGGTGGGGGTTCAGTAGCACTGCCGCCGGTAGGCAAACGCTGAAAAGGAGCAAGAGGTGTGGGGCAGAAGGCGAAGGAACAAGGGGGGTTCGGAGGGGGGCACAGAAGTGGGGTGCGTGGGAAACACGTGGAGAGGACTGTTGCGGATGGGGAAAGCCCGAGGCAGGTGCAGAAGGGTCGGAAGCTGGAGGACAGCAGGCAAGGAGAAAGATAAAGGGAAGCAGATGTGGGGGCAGGTACTAGGCATCGGCGGAGGCAGAGGTGGGCAGGGTGGGCTGCGGGGTGTGGGCCGGCGCTAGGACCCGGAGGCGCGAAGGTGGCGGAACGGGCGGGCACTAGGACCCGGCGGGTCCTTTGTTTGGGGGGCCGGGGAGCCGGACGGCGGCTCCCGTCGGCGGCTCCCCTCTGCTGGCGGGGGCCCGGAGGGGGGGAGGGGAGACAGTGATGGGGTCCTCGGACTCTAAAGGACCTTCACTCACCGTCAGCCACGGGCAGGTCGGCCCGCTCCACCCACGAGCTCCAGCTCTGTCCCGCGAAGTCATCGAGACTCGGCACCCGCCGCTC